ATGCCATCAAGAGTTGATTAAGGCCTGGATCATTAATTATTGTCTAATTAATACTTTAGAAAACATTTCAGGCCTAAAGAAAGACCTGCAATAGGAAGATTTAGCTCTTGCATAATGTATGTTTAAGTTTTTACAACCCCAATAAGTATAATTGAAAGCAACCGAACTCCTAGAGTTTTTACAACCCACGTAGGTATAATAGAAAGCTACCCAACCCCTAGAGGTTTTATTACCCACATACATGTAGGTATAATACAATTATTATTATTTCAGCATATTTATAGTGCACCCTTTCATATAACATGTTCAGGGGCACTTTACAAAGTGACAATGTAAATCATACATAAACAACAAAATTATGGACATGTTAACGATTGTATACTTAGTCAGTTAAAAGCCTGATTAAATAAATGTGTTTTAAGTTGTTTTTTAAAATAATATAGAGATGTACAACATCTTAAACTAAATGGTAGATTATTCCATAAAACAGGTGCTTGATAACTAAAAGAGCACTGACCATAAGAGACTAGTTGAACAGTTTTAATGGATAAAAGAGCTTTGGTACTGTGAGATGTACACGAATCAGCTACCCAACCCCTAGAGTTTTTACAACCCACATGTATAATATACTTTATGTATATCAATATAACAAGAATGGTATTTATGCATGTATTGATTCTGAACTAATTATATATAGAAAACCAGTAATCGGTGCTTTCCTAATGCTATTTAATATCGATCACATGACAGGAACAAAGATATACTCTTATAACTCATTAACAAACACAATTATCCTCATCTAAATATTTTTGTTGATCGACTAATTACCATGGTAACATACAATAAAAGCATCCATGCACATCTTCTTCTTATGTTGGGATGAAAAAAATATTGTTGTATAGATATAGTCAATAGAATAATATTTACATACAGTGACTATCAATATCCACTATCGGTGGTGGATCCAGGTTGGGGGGCCAGTGGGGTAGGACAGAGGGCCTGACCAGGACAGTGTCTAATCCTTCGGATGGAACAGAAAAAACAAGATCCAATATACACATTAAAGTGCATATAAATGAGACCTTGACCATTAGAATTCCAAACAATAGCAGGTCATAGCACTGCTCTGAGAGAGAGAGAGAGAGAGAGAGAGAGAGAGAGAGAGGTTTAATGTGGACTCAATATAAACTTGGTCATTTTGGAACTAAGGTTCAATTATATTTCACTAATTCACTTGTGTGTAGGGGTCTTAAGTAGTGGGAGGAAATCCGATGACCCCTACTCCTAGTCACTCATTCGTCCAACCACCCAACTCACCCAATAGAACATTAACTAGAGTACTTTGTCCAAATTGAATGAACACGGAAACGATCAATATACAAAATTAGTCCGAACACAATTTTTAATCAAATATCCATGATTAACAAACTGCATTAAATACAAGACTACCTGTATCTATTTACCTGTTTTACCTGACCACTATTCATCCAAAAATTGAATGAAACAAATCTCCAGATGCCAATTCCCACTCAACCAAAAGACTGGACAATAGATATAAAAATACGACCAACACACTTGGGACAATATAACACATGTTCTCCATGGCGGACATAATTTTCATTAGTGGAGCTCATTTCTGCATCAATTATCAGCCTCCAGTGAAAAAGCAGGTAGAAGTGATATTTCAGGTCAATCGTAGTTCAATGGTTTAAGAGTATAATCACTTCATTATTTATTATTAACATTCGATTAACGAATATAAATATATAATATCCTGGGTAAATCAAACCTATTTAATAATAAATTACGTGTATAAACAAAGAGTAGTACTTTAATCCGAAGTACACCAACCATCTGAATAACATTTCAAAAATGATTTCCATAAACTAAACCAAATGAAATGAAATCGGGTTTATCGTCCTACTGTTCTGTTCTGACTGGACTAATGAAATGAAATGGGGTTTAACGTCCAACTGTTCTGCTCCGAACTGTGCTAATGAAGACGGGCATACGCCATACAGTGTGCTATGAGGGAAATTTTGCCTGGACAGCGACACTACGGCCTACTCTTATATCGAATTCCAACTGTCAAGGGATCTTTTACGTGCACGCCAATGTGTACACGGGACCTCGGGTTTTCGTCCCATCCGAATGACTAGACAGCTGTCCTTCTCACTGACAAGGGGGAACCACGCCAGAAAATCTGGATGAACTTTCTCAGCCAATGCAGGGATCGAACACCCGACTTCCACCTTAACCAATGATCTACCGTGGCCCCCCTGTATATTAGTGGTATATTAATAACATGGTATAACGCCATCACCCTACCCACTTAGCCACCGTGGCCCCCTATGTAATAGTGTCAAGTTAACAAAGCATGGTATAACTTTATTGGTTAGTCCGCCAGTACCTCACCCACTGTGCCACCGTGGCCCCCTATGTAATAGTGACAAGTTAACGAAGCATGGTATAACTTTATCGGTTAGTCCGCAGCACCTGACTCACTGTGCCACCGTGGCCCCCCTATGTATTAGTAACATGTTAACGAAGCATGGTATAACAAGTATAATGAATACAACCTATAGACTATATATCACTATATAATTCAAACACATCAGCGTATTATTGATTTTCACAAAGGTTTTATTTCTCTCTTCACTAGTAGAATAACATAACGAGAACTTGTTTGTTTCATTTTACAAGTAATTTTGTACTTTTCATTCAATATAGGAACCAGACAGAATTGTAACGTCATCTGTCAGGTTGGCTGGGCAGGTCATTATCAGGATTGATATAATGTGATGTCTGACCCTCAATAATCAACCCTAACCTTAGCCACATAAAAAATAGCGAGTTGTTATATACTATTCAAAAAAAGTAGGGGATATTTGATTTTGGGGGCATAATACTAAAATATGCAAATGACTACGAAAAAAGTCACTATAGAACCTAACAGAAGAAACATTTCCAGTTACATGTGACGCCCAAACGCACCAATAGCTACCGCATGGAATGCAGGTGATGCTTGGGATCATCATGGGGGTCCAACCCAAGATTTGCACGACTCTGACTTTGAATGTTACAGTCATTGTGGCATTGAATTCCAGGGTGGAAACATCAGTTTAATTGTTTTAGTGACCAGAAAACAAATTTTGATATGCGTCGGCTTACCCAAAATGAAAGGTTACGTGCCCTTGGCATGCTACAGATCGGCACAACACAGGCGGTTGTGGCGCGGACGATGAATGTTTCTCAGTCTGTCATAAGCAGGCTATGGTCCAGATACCGTGATACACAATCTGTACAGGACAGACCACGCTCAGGTCGACAACTCAAGCCCAGGATCGATTTATCCGTACCTTGGCCTTGAGAAATCGTGTCATCACAGCAAATCAGATCAGCGCTCGTCTTCAAACAGACACTGGTGTGAGAGTGAGTGGCCAGACGATTCGGAATCGACTGCATAGGGGTCACCTTCGCGCCCGACGTCCTCGCGTGATCCCTTGTTTGAGAGATCATCACATTCAGACAAGACGTCGTTGGTGTAGGGATCGTCAACACTGGGATAATCGACGCTGGAGCAATGTGATGTTTTCAGATGAGTCAAGGTTCACTTTTTAATTTTTTGGACAGACGTAGGAGGGTGTGGCGTCGTCAAAACGAGCGCTTCCAAGACGTTAACGTCATCAGACATGATCGATTTGGGGGTGGTTCTGTTATGGTGTGGGGAAGCATCACTGTTGCTGGAAGAACGGCTTTACATGTTGTTGCAGGGCGTGTTACAGGCCAGTACTACCGGGACAACATCTTGGCAGTCCATGTTGTGCCGTTCGCACGACGTCATGGCCGCCGTTTCATCTTCCAGGATGACAACGCAAGATGTCACAGGGCCAGGATCGTTACAGGTTACCTCCAACAACAGAACATCACCACATTACCTTGGCCAGCACTGAGTTCCGACCTCTCCCCCATCGAGCATGTCTGGGACATGCTTGGACAGAGGTTACGTCAACGTCAACAACGTCCTGCCAATGTCCAAGAACTTGCTGCTGCGTTGCAACAGGAATGGGACAATCTGGACCAAAATGACCTTAGACGTCTCATTAGGAGTATGCCACGTCGGATCAATGCTTGTTTGGCAAACAGAGGAGGATTTACCCGTTATTGACTTGGTTGTGATGCTGTGGTAACTTTGCTGTTTGACCCCGGGTATAATTTTACCCTTATAATGGTCAGTCTGTGCCTTACTTAGTCTAACGATCATTTGGAATAAATCGATGAATGTGAACTTCATTTCATTTTGTCATTTGTTTCTTCGTCAGTTTCATTAGGTGACTTTAATAACACTTAAAAATCAAATATCCCCTACTTTTTTTGAATAGTATATTCTGCACCATTCCATCAAAGTTAATGCTCAAGGAACATTTACCTCCCCACTAGGTAATTAGTGCTAAATGATAAAGCCAGCTCAATTTTTACGTCATAGGTCACGAGATGTAAACAGGGCTACCCTAACACTAACCCTGGACCTAGCCCCAATGCTCACCTTAACTCTAACCAACAATCTCGCCAATAATCACATGCCCTAACCTTATTTACATCTCAGCAACCTTCACAAAAATTGGGCTGGCCTTAACAAATAGATTTAGCCTCCCCCACTAGACAAAAACACAATTATGGCTAATAAACAGTCAAGTCTTTATCTGCTTCTACAAACAAACAAGAAAAGTAAGGAAAGACACTACAAAGAACTTGTTTAACAAGGCATTTCTACGAAGACCTCGTGAACCAGCTATCTACAAGCTTAGGAGTAAACATATACTTTGCCTTCTAACATCTGATTGGTCAATATATCCTTGGAAAAGTTCGGAATATTTTATCCTGTTAAAACCGACTTGAAAATAGATTCTACCAAGATCCTCTACTGCAACAGAGATAATCACTTTACTTGCATACATTGTGAAAGATTATTAAAAAAAAGAAGATGTATTGCTGCTTACCTTCGTTTTTGGCTTCAATATCACTGGAAGAAAAAGTTCTACCATCAGAAACACCTCTATCACTATCTACAGGTTCATCTTGAGCGACATTCTTAATTGGACAGGACTGGATCTTTTCAACAATAACTTTCTTACTTCCAAATTCATCTGCTAGAATTTGTGGAAATTCAACGATTCCACCTGGCTCTTTCACTCTAATACACACATTTGATTGGTTAACATTTATAAATTTTTGATTCCCATCAGCTGAAGGCACCGAGTAGTCATCATCATCATTGTCATTTTTCAACGGTTGAACTTGATTCAAATTAAGATCCAATCCATAACAGTACATTTTGTTAGCGAAAGTTGGATTGTCAATAGTCATATCAGTATGTCCATGGCCATCTGATTCTGTAAACGTGAGGCCATTCCATATTTCTATTCCTTGAAATGCAGGAGCATCTTGAAGACAGTTGTCACACTCACAATTACAGCAACAAGAATCAGACGACATTGGAGAATCAAAATCTTCAGAATCACTAACAGACATTTGCTCATCATCGGAAGATATCTTTGAAATAGAAAAATTGTCAGATTGAATCTCATCCGGAATATTCTGATCATTTTTAACAAGAATGGAAACATCAGAACCAATTTCACAATTTACAGATGTGTGTTGGAAATGTTTCAATTCGTTGTCATCATACGAACCTGACATCTGCATGTGTATTGATTGATTGTCATAAGTTGAAACAGACAAATTGTCCGCGGGAATCTCTTCCAGAAAATTCTTATCACTTTTAACAACTGTGGATACATCAGAAGCACTTTCACAATCTAAAGATGTCCCTTGGAAATTTTTTAATTTGTTGCACTCGTCTAAAACTGTGGGAACATCAGAGTTAACTTCACAATTTGAAGATGTGTGTTGGAAATGTTTTAATTCTTGACTTTTAACAACCGTGGGAACATCAGAAGCACTTTCACAATCCAAAGATGACCATTGGAAATTTTTCAATTGGTTGGACTCATCTAAAACTGTGGGAACATCAGAGTTAACTTCACAATTTAAAGATGTGTGTTTGAAATGTTTCAATTCATTGTTGTCCTCGTATGAACCTGACATCTGCATGTGCATTGATTGATGGTGATGAGATGTTGTTAGTGGGTTAGTAGAACTGGTGGTGGAACATTTATCAGCCCAAGAAATGAAATGAGATATATCTTGTCCTTTTGACAGACAGTCATCACGGATTATTTGGCGTGTATCTCGAATGACAGATGAATAATTAGCCTGGTTCAAACTGTTTGGGTGGATAACAGAGATGTCATCTGTCACTTCTGATGTTTCTTTTATTTTGATGTCTGGGTTTTCCAATTTTATGTTGTCCAAGGGTTCTGAGTAATGGCTTCCTTGTTGATGATCATGAAACATTTCCCTGTCTTGTCCTTCATATTTTTGACATGCTAATTTTGAATCAAATAGAATGATGTCATCAATTCTTGTTACTGTTTGAGAAGGCAGTGCGTCATCTGAGCTTTTCAAGTGCTCAAAGCCTTTTGGAATCTTCTTCCATGTATCTTCGGCTTTTGTTCTGTCATCTTCATCTAAATTACCACAACTTTCAAATGTTTCTGTCTCTTGGTCAAAAGTGTCTGATGGGATTGTAGCTTTAGCTATTTTTCTTTCACCTTCATCTAAATTATCACTGCTTTCAAACGTTTTAATCATTTTGATTGAATCATCGGTTTGGTCAAAAGTATCTGTTGTGATCATAGCTTTAGTCTTTGTTCTATCATCTTCATCATCTAAATTTTCACTACTTTCAAATGTGTTAAACATTTTGATTGAATCATCAATTTCATCAAAAGTATATGTTGTGATCGTAGCTTTAGTCTTTGTCCGATCATTTTTATGTGAATTATCACTACTTTCAAATGTGTTCAACATTTTGATTGCAACATCAAAGGTGTCTGATGTGTCCGTAGCTTTAGTCTTTGTGTTCTGATCCTCTAATTCTTCTGTTGGTTTATTTATATGTACAGGTAAGTTCTCTGTTGGTTTATTTATTTGTACAGGTAAGTTCTCTGTGTTTCTGCTACCATGTGATACATCAATCTGTTTATGATAACACGAATGACGAGGATTCTGGTTGTTTTGTACTCGATCTTCTGCTTTTACAGATATTACTGCTGACATCTCTTTTTTCATTTTGTGTGTTCCGTCTGCTTCACAGACGACATCTGTCTCGCAATCTGAATCTCCTGCTCTTTCATCCTCATCACCTAATTCATCATCAGGGTTAAAGATGGATTTTTTCCCAGGTTGAAAAACTGATTTTTTCCATGGGTGATCAGGACAAAAACTAAATAAAATAACAATAATAAAATATTCACAAAGAGCAAACTATGGACAACCGCAATACACAGATATAAAATATGCAAGTGCAATATTGATATATGTATTAATCCTGTGACATTCTCCACTGCCGACGGATAAAAGGAAATGAAATGGGGTTTAATGTCCTACTGTTCTGCTCTGAACTGGGCTAATGAAGACGGGCATACAGTGTGGTATGAGGGAAATTTTTGCCCGGACAGCGTTACTACGGCCTACTCTTATATCGAATTCCAACTGTCAAGGGATCTTTTACATGCATGCCAATGTGTTCACAGGACCTTGGTTTTTCGTCCCATCCAAACGACTAGACAGCTGTCCTTTTCAGGCCATCCGTCTTGCATTACTGACAAGGGAGAACCAAGGGTCCAGCAGTATTTTTTAAATAGCTTTGATCTTATGATGCAGATGTATGCATCACATGATTTTCAGTTCAAATTTTGTTTCAGGCTCTTATGTCAATAAACAATGCAATGTATCATAATTCATAAATTCCTTGCGTACACTTCTCAACAAGCAGATGCACAATAAAAATGACAGCTGCAGATGTAAAGAAAAAACCATTAAAAGGGTTACCCAGTTTAAAACACTCTTTAAAACACTCTAATTACGTAAGTTGATTTAATGGTTTAAGTGGCGTAATTGTATATAAGATAGATGATGAATGTAAGAGAGACAGGGGGGAGAGAGAGAGACAGGGGGGAGACAGGGGGGAGAGAGAGAGACAGGGGGGAGACAGGGGGGAGACAGGGGGGAGAGAGAGAGACAGGGGGGAGACAGGGGGGAGAGAGAGAGACAGGGGGGAGACAGGGGGGAGAGAGAGAGACAGGGGGGAGAGAGAGAGACAGGGGGGAGACAGGGGGGAGAGAGAGAGACAGGGGGGAGAGAAGGGGGGAGAGAGAGAGACAGGGGGGAGAGAGAGAGACAGGGGGGAGACAGGGGGAGAGAGAGAGACAGGGGGGAGAGAGAGAGACAGGGGGGAGACAGGGGGGAGAGAGAGAGACAGGGGGGAGAGAGAGAGTTCGTATTAAAACACTGAGATGGTGTTCCTTTGAGAGAGAGAGGGAATTAACATCCACTTAACACAAACTAGGTCATATCGCGACTAACACATGGTTCAATTTTCATTTCATAAATTAGCTAGCGCATATGTGTCCTTAACAATGGGTCAAAACCAAAGACACTGAGAAAACCCATGAGGTTGGAGAAACAAAGAGTGAAATGGGGTTTAAAGTCCACTTGACATGATAAAGGTCATACAATAAAGAGTGAACAAAAAAGCAGCTGTTTGTGCAAAATCCCCCCCTCCCCTCCCCCTAATCATCGCACATGCTACAACAGAAATAAAATCCTCAAAAACAAGCTGCTGTTCATGCACCTCTGCGCCCCACCCCCGGCCATACATAGCACATGCGATGATAGAAGTAAAACCGTCAAAAACAAACTGTTGATTGTGCAAAATTCTCCCCGATCATTGCTCATGTGACAATAGAAGTAAAACCCCCCAAACAAGCTGTTGATTGTGCAATTTCCCCCCCCCCCCCATCATTGCTCATATGACGATTGAAGTAAAAAAAAACAAAACAAGCTGATGTTTGTGCAAAATTCCTCCTCCCCTGTATCATTGCATGCGACAATAGAAATAAAACCTTCAAAATGCCCGAAGTATGGTGCAGTTGTTGTTATTTGTATCTTAGAGGAGAGCCGAAAAACGCTCCCCTTAATCAACAAATTGAAAAAATCGCTCTCCCAGTTCGATAATGATTTAGAAATTAAGGAGAGTGATCTGATATTGGAAAGTGATTAGTTTTGTGTATGGGAAATGGTTCTGAAGATCAATAACTGCATGTAAGACATTTATTCCTGCTTTCATAATTGATAATAAACCCCCCACCCATGACTTTACTCAATCAAACTTTATTTCAGAGTTTTTTCAAATTATTTTTAAAACTCTCACCTGTGACACACCCCCATCAACCAGGTATCAATCGATTTAAAATAATATTTTTCGCTGTGGAAACTCTTGGCCTGGAAGCTGTAACTATCAAATACTTGAACTTTACCGTTGTTCCACCGAGAACCAATGGTTTTAGGTCCATCACCTAACCAGATTTCAACATGCGTCATGTCATGTCGCTGTTTCTTATCTGTAAAATACACACGGTACATCATGACATACATATATGGTACATTGCTACATATGGTACACATTTATGGGTACATACGGTACACTGATATACATGGTACATTAATACATATGGTACATGAATACTTGGATACATATGGCACATATACATATGGTATATGTACATGGATACACACGGTACATCGATAAATATGGTACATGGATACACATGGTACATGGATATACATGGTACATGGATAAATATGGATAAATATGGAATATGGATATTCATGGTGTAATTACATGGTACATACTGTACATATGTCACATTACTCTTCCGGACACCTGTTACCACTGTTTGTCGTGTAATTTGTACACGAGGAGCAGTCCATTTGCTGATTACACTATTTTGCTTGAATACACTATTTTGCCTATAACGTTTTTTAGGACTTAGAATTCTGTCTTATGGTTTGGATTGTTCGTACTTGGTTTTATTTTATTGGTACATATTGTACACAAATGCATATGGTATGTGAATACATATGGTACATTAATGCATATTGTATATGGATACATATGGTACATGGGTACAAATATTGATTATGACAAACAAAGGATAAGGTTCAAAAGTTTACAACACCTGACTTCAAAATTAAAATCAAATTAGTAGAATACAATATTTTCTTACTTTTAGGGTTTGTATAAATGCCTGACATAAAGACTAGATCACCAGGTCTCATATCTTCCTCTTTATCAATGGTAATGGGCAGAGTATCATACATGTAGGCTTGATTCCAAGGTCCGATATAAAAACCAAATTCTTTGGACAGATCCCGCAATACCTGACGAACTAAACCACAGCAGTCTAAAAATATTGGTGAATTATACTCGGGAGCTGAAAGAATCAAATAATGTTCTCTTCATTTTTGGGTTTCGAATCCCCGGTTGTACGTGACAAGGAGTAGGGTCGCCTGTCCAGCCTCGTGGGTTTTCTCCAGATCCCCCGGTTTCCTCCCACTGCTAAAGACCCCTACGCGCAAGTGAATTATTGAAATAAAATCAAACCATATGTTAGTCCCGAAATGATCTAGTTTGTGTCGAGTGGACGTTAAACCCCATTTCTCTCTCTCTTCATTTTTATTCTCATATCTCTAATCAGAATCAATTGATCGTGTTGCCATGGGTGATCGAAGGAGCTGACGTGTGTGCTATAGGTCTGTCATTGAGTCAAGTGGCATGGTTTCTTTCCCAGGCTTGTACGTGATGAGGAGTAGAGTCGCCTGCATAACTTTGTGTGTTTTCTAAAGTTTCTTCCTACTTTTAAGCGAATTATTGAAAAAATTTTACAATATGTTAGTCCCAAAATGTCCTAGTTTGTGTCGAGTTGATGCAATCTGATCCTATATTGTTTCGTTTTTTATAGTTCAAAATTTCGTTTTACTTTAGTAGGATCTGGAAGAGTTGTTATCATTGACATGTTCTGGATGATGTGAGGGATTAGCCAATGAAATGGTCTGTTACGGCGAGCTTTTAGCATGAGCTGAACAGAACTGTGGGCAATCCACTAGAAACATCAATGTTGATTGGTTAATCAAATATCTGACGTCATAGGGTCAAAAGTCGCTTGTATGACCTTTGACGCGACCCCCTAAAACAACTGGTCAGATATTCATGTAGTGTAGACCATCGAAAGTATAACAAACAAAACGAACCCCAGTTAATGGCGCCATCTGGTAGCAAATTGTATAAGCTTTCTGTGGAACAATCAATTTCAGGTAAAAACGATTGAACCAAGGTCCTTCTGAAATGGCCTCCCGGACAAATAAATACAAGTCTATCGTATTTATTTGATCTTAATTTGGCTGAAAAGTGGAAATCAGTTGTTGTACTGGTAATTATGATTCTTATTAAACATCATTTTGAAGTTGTAATTAAACCTCCACTCGACACAAACTAGGTCATTTCAAGACTAACATATGGTTCAATTTTATTTCAATACTTCACTTGCACGTAGGGGTCTTTGGCAGTGGGAGGAAACCGGAGAACAGGGCTGGGGCCATTACATTGCCAATGTAATTAATTACATTACCATTACTTTTTAAATGTAATCATTACAATTACTTTCTCATTTTTAGCAATGTAATTAATTACCATTATTCATTACATTGAAAGTAATTAATTACCATTACCCATTACTTTATGACTATATAAATAAAAAAACATTTTCATAGAAATAAAAAAGACAACATTATTTTTCTGCCATGAAGTACCTACAAAATCAAACTCAAAATAATCTTTGATTCACTTAATAGATATTTGTTTATGAATTATTATTTCTAGCAATTATAACATCAAGGCAAATTTTATAGTGACGGGCAGTGGTGACAAAAACTGACATTTTCACTCTATGACTTGAAAAATGAATCGAAACTATAGTTAATTAACTGTATTTTCTTTTAAGTAATTTTTAAAAAAATTTAATCAGTCCAAATAGTTTTTCTATAATATATTGTATAATAAATGGTAAATTATTCAGCATGACTCTAAAACAAAATATATATTAGTTTTAAGTAACCATAAAATGATGAGATACTTGAAGATCATTGTTTGGTTTGTCACTTGTTGCCTTGAGATTAAGATTAAAGTGCAGTAAGACTATTTATTGTCTTTTAATCTAACTGATTGATTGATTGATTGATTGATTGATTGGTTGATTGATTGATTGGCTGCAAATTAGTACTAATCTTTAATTATAATATACATCTTATCAGAAATCCACTTCTTAGGTTACATGTCTAAAAAAGGTTCCTACATAAAAAGTAATAAAGAAAATGTTTAATGCCTTCTTATTTTTCTTATAATTTTTTAAAACTGATTTAAATCATTTTTTTTTAGAATTATAATGAATTGGATTTGTGTCAGATACACTTAATTACTTCTTTGGTGCTATAAAATTTGAGGCTTGTCATATTGGAAATATTTATATATGTCATAAAATGTAATTGAAAAGTAATTGAAATGTAATTGACCATTACATGATTTTTGGAATGTAATTAATTACATTTCCATTACTCATTACTTTTGAAATCTTCCATTACTCATTACATGGCCATTATTTAAAAAATGTAATGATTACATTCCATTACCAATTACCATTACCCCAGCCCTTCCGGAGAACCCAGAGAAAACCCACGAGGCTGGACAGACGACCCTACTCCTTGTCACGTACAAACAGGGAATCGAAACCATGCCAGTTGACTCGATGACAAACCTTATGATACAACACACACGTGTGGATATTGCAGGTCTTGCTTTAGTCTCGAAATGTTACATAAATTATTAATTAGACATTAATTAAGTCTTGATGCCATCAGATGGCTGCGATATAAGTAGATTTAAACACGTTTTGTGGTCGATGAATTTACTGTAAAAATGGATAATCAAGGCTTTGTTTATTATTGTATCAAGGTAGTACTGACAATTGAGGCTAGGCTATAATTGTTGTGTCTAGGCTCAGAGTGAAGTAATTTTTCAGCATATTCTCTTTTCATTATTTATTTTTTAACTATTATAACGAGAACTGTCAGCTCTTTTATCTAATCTGACCTAATGCCACTTTAAATCAAATCAGTGGGCCAAATGTTTATACAACTTGGACAGGCGACCCTACTCCTTGTCATGTACAAATAAATGACAGACCTTATGATACAGTGTGCAGGTGCTTACCATTCGGCCATCCAACCCCCCACCAGAGAGAGAGAGAGAGAGAGAGAGAGAGAGAGAGAGAGAGAGAGAGGTTTTAGCTTTGGGAAGGAAACAGGGGGACCCAGAAAAAACCCACGAATTTGGACAGACATCCCTACGATCGAGGGAATATAAACCATGCCACTTGACTCAATGACACATAATATATCAGTGAGCCAAATGTTTATTCAACTTAATTTCTTGAGTAAAGCACATCTAAATATTTTATAAAACTTCTCCACTTACTGTCTGGTGCCCAGTATTTTCTGGCATAAGGCACACCAAAATATTTCTTGGTCTGTTCTATAAACTTGTTTCGTAATAACTCCATGCGTTCCGGGTCAGAATTTAGATCCATTTGTCTCTCCTTCATTTTTCTAGATTCTTTGACACTTTCCTGGAAATAACGATATAAATGTTGACACTGTAACTTGGGTATCATTTCATCTTGTGTATCTAGCACTAATTTCTTTCACATGATTAATTTTGATAATGAGTGTCCAATTTACAAGTGTTTAATGTCCTGACCACTGTTCAAAAATTAATCATTATACATCAATAATTAATTGGGTTGTTTATTTTTTAACAGTGATGGAGAAATTAAACAGTTGTAAATTGGACACTCATTATCAAAATTAATCAGTCAGCTTTAAACTGGACACAAGTACAAATTAGATAATTTTGGGTGATTTTAATTAATTTTTATAAATTTTTTAGCAAAGCTTTGATATTAAACGTATGTGAAAGAAATTAGTGCTAAATTTATGCACATGAATAGCTTTCTGTATTACAGGACTATTTTGCGTGCGCCACAGCTTTGTACGTAATGGGGCGGGGGGGGGGGGGGATGTCTAAGGAGCCCTAATTAGGGACTTCAGCAGTGGAGAAAAACTAAGGACCCGGAGAAAACCTACGTGGTTGGTCAGAAGACCCTTCTCCTTGCCACTCATGATCTACCTTTAGAGAGAGAGAGAGAAATGTGGTTTAACGTCCACTCAACACAAACTAGGTCATTTCGGGACTAACATAGGGGTGATGATTTTCCGTGATCGCGGAAAAAACGCGGAAATCGCGGAATTGTCCACTCAAAACGGAATTTGAAATCTCACACGGAAAAAGACGGAAAAGCCGATATTTGCTGATACTAAACACAAACTCAAAATAATTTTGCAGTTATCCAAGTATTTTATCTTTTTATTCATAAAAATCGGAAATATTGAATGATATCGCGTGGTTTTGTTACTGTCTATTTTAGTATTTCGCTACTTTCATTTCATCATTTAGGAATCATAATTTTAATCGAAACGAAAACCCGTCTTTCATGTATCCCATTATAAAATTACTCTGTAGTTTAACTTGAATTAAACATTGTAATGTATATATATGTCTTTAAAAAAACTTCTGTCACTTCATAAAAGTAAAAATCGTTTCATTTACTTCTTATTTTACTGCCGGGCTCGTGACTCGTGTTTATCCGCATTAACCACGTGACATCAGAAATATACCGTAGCCTTGTGAATCCAGCCCTTATTCTCGAAGAAACGGTAGTAACTACGAAGATGTCTGGATAAATCGCGACTACACCTAGCAGCTGAGAAACATGACTTCGTCTGCTAAAAAGATGAAACGAGCTCACAAGATGTAATTTTCTGTTATTTAATTCGGGAAACAGGTTTAAAGAATAACTAGTCATTGAACATTACAAGTCATTCACAATTCAACATTTGTTATCATTGGTTTAAAATGATCCGTTTTGTAATAAAAGGCATTTTAAGATGTTTTATTCATTTATTCATAAAATAACATTTTATCTCGAAAAAACGGAATATGGTCAGCTCTGAAACGGAAAATAACGGAATTAAAAATACTTAAAACGGAATTTGCTATTTTCTGAAACGGAAAATCATCACCCCTACTAACATATGGTTCAATTTTATTTCAATAATTCGCTTGCGCGTATGGGTCTTTTGCAGTGGGTGGAAACCGGAGGACCCAGAGAAAAAACACAATGTTGGACAGGTGACCCCTCCTTGTCACGCCAGTTGACTCAATGACAGACTTTATGATGCAGCACGCGCAAACCATTCGGCTATCCAACCCTCCTCTGTACCTTTAGAATTGTAATATAAGTAAAATGTAAATCATTTAATAATATATTAACACTGTAATTATATACAGTGAGTATAAATCTGTAATTATTGTAGTATGCAATTACATAAGTCTCATCTCAGGGAATATTCTATTTCAAAAAGTAAATGAATGAATGAAACAGAGTTCAATGTCCTATTTTTCTGCTCCAACCTGGCCAATGAAGACAGGTATATTCCATTGGCTAGGAGGGAAATATTTGAATATGAAATAGGCCAAGAATATAGAAAGAGTAATTTGTAAATGAGAGAGCCTGAGGATATCTATTTGATGTGTATACATACACACCTGTAAGATATATTTACCTGTATACATGTCCCAATATAATATTTATATATCAAAGATATGTCTACATGTACCTGAATAATATACATTATATCTACCTGTAAGATATTTCTACTCTATAATATATTATACCAGAGAGAGAGAGACAGACAGACAGACAGACAGAGATATGGGTTTAACCTCCACTCGACACAAACTAGGTCATTTCAGGACTAACACATGGTTCTATTTTATTTCAATAATTCACTTGCGCGTAGGGGTCTTTAGCAGTAGGAGGAAACCGGAGGACCTGGAGAAAACCCCAAGGTTGGACAGGCGACCCTACTCCTTGTCAAGTACAACCGGGGAATCGAAACCCCGCCAGTTGACTCAATGACAGACCGCATGATACAGCGCAGCACCCACGTGTTAAGTGTTAACCATTCCATTCGGCCATCCAAACCCCCAAGAGAGAGAGAGAGAGAGAGAGAAAGAGAGAGAGATATGGGTTTAGTGTCCACTCAACAAATACTAGGTCATTTTGGAACTAAAAATCTCATTTCAATAAAACGCTTGCAAGTAGGAGGAAACAGGAGAACCCAGAAAAAACCCACGAGGCGAGAGAGAGAGAGAGAGAGATATGGGTTTAATGTCCACTCAGTAAATACTAGGTCATTTTGGAACTAAAAATCTCATTTCAATAATTCGCTTGCTAGTAGGGGGTCTTTAGGAGTAGGAGGAAACAGGAGGACCCTGAAAAAACCCACGAGGCGAGACAGAGAGATATGGGTTATGGGTTTAATGTCCACTCAGTGAAAACTAGGTCATTTTAGAACTAAAAATCTCATTTCAATAATTCCTTTGATAGTAGGGATCTTTAGCTGTGGGAGGAAACTGGAGGACCTGGAAAAACCCTACAAGGTTGTACAGACGATCCTACGATCGAGGGACTCTAAACCACACCACTTGACTCAATGACCCATAATATATCTGTATTCCTATACCTGTATTCCTATACCTGTATACCTAATACCTATATAATATATATACCTCTATACCTGCATAATATATATACCTATATACAACGTTTGAGTAAATATTGAGGTGATTTATAACCTATACCTATCATATACCTATATAGTTTTATGTGTTTATATTGAAGAGATACAGCTTTCAGATCACGATTTACTCGACAGTACTATCTACATCGTACTACTAAACGACCATCTTTATCTCATCATACACTTATAATCTGATTAAAACACAGATCCTATTTCGTTTCATTTTTAAAAAATAGTTCAAAATATCGTTTTACTTAGGATCTGGATGATGTGAGGGATTAGCTAAATGAAATGGTCTGTTACGACATGTTTTTGGCATGAGGTGCACAGAACTGTGGGTTACTTACTAGAAACATCAACACTGATTGGTTAACCAAATATCTGACATCATATGGTCAAAAGACAGTCGTATGACCTCTGACGCAACCTATCGCTACAACCGGTCAGATCTTCATGTAGTAGAGGCCATCGAAAGTATAAAAAAACGAAACGAAATATAGATCTGGATTCTGGGGCCTATTTCACAAAATTTGAACTAAGATAAAATCCAAATGTTAGTAATTTGATTGGATAATATTAGATTGATTTTAGTGCTTAGCCAATCAAAATTGAAGTTTCTACTAATATTTGGATTTTATCTTTAGTTGAGATTTCGAAAAAGAGAAAGAGAGAGAGAGAGAAAGAGAGAGAGAGAGAGAGAGAGAGAGATGGGGTTTAACGGTTCACTTGACACAAACCAGGTCATTTCGAGACTAACATACGGTTTAATTTTATTACAATAATTCATTTGCGCGTAGGGGTCTTTAGGGAGTACCCAGAGAAAACCCACAAGTTTGGACAGGCGACCCTACTCCTTGTCACCTACAACCGGGGAATCAAAACCATGCCAGTTGACTCAATGACAGGCCTTTTGATACAGCACACACATGCTAACCATTCGTTCATCCAACCCCCAGATTTCGAGAAACAGGTCCCTGTATTTTAATCAGAAAGCTCCTAGTCTACTGTTCTAATATATTCTCTAATAAGTGCAGTTAAAATTCAGATGTGACGTCTCATTAGGAGTATGCCACGTCGGATCAATGCTTGTTTGGCAAACAGAGGAGGATTTACCCGTTACTGACTTGGTTGTGATGCTGTGGTAACTTTGCTGTTTGACCCCGGGTATCATTTTACCCTTATAATGGTCAGTCTGTGCCTTACTTAGTCTAACGATCATTTGGAATAAATCGATGAATGTGAACTTCATTTCATTTTGTCATTTGTTTCTTCGTCAGTTTCATTAGGTGACTTTAATAACACTTAAAAATCAAATATCCCCTACTTTTTTTGAATAGTATATATAGATATAGCCCTTGTGCCATCGCACTCGTGCAATATCAATATATTACTTAATGTCTCGCATTCGACAGCAGGAGATCTAAATAAATAGTATGCTAGCCATGCAAAATTCTCCTCATGTGCTGGTCTTGAGTAGGCCACTTTGGTGTAGAAAAGTAAAATATTAACCCATATTCAACACAGTACGGTATAAAAGATTTTAACATTGTGTATAATATGTAGTATGGTATAAAAGATTTTAACACAGCAGAGTATAGTATGTAGTATGGTATAAAAGATTTTAACATTGAGTATAGTATGTAGTATGGTATAAAAGATTTTAACATTGAGTATAGTACGTAGTATATAGTATGGTATAAAAGATTTTAACATTGTGTATAGTATGTAGTATGGTATAAAAGATTTTAACATTGAGTATAGTATGTAGTATGGTATAAAAAAATTTAACATTGTGTATAGTATGTAGTATGATATAAAAGATTTTTACATTGAGTATAGTATGTAGTATGATATAAAAGATTTTTACATTGAGTATAGTATGTAGTATGATATAAAAGATTTTTACATTGAGTATAGTAATGGT